ATCAACAAGAGCACTCTTGAAACATTACAAGTGAATATTCGGGGAGTTCCTTTTGATCTTTGTTGACGAGCGATCGAAATTATTCGAGTTAGGTGGATTCCTTTTTTTATATTCGAAAGTAGAGTCACGGGTCGCGATTAGTTTTTTTTTTGTAAAACCATAGTGATAAAAGTAACGTGTGCTTCCGCCAGCCTTGCAGCCCAACAGATAGAATATAATACTTATGTAAGTAAATAGTTTTAAGTAGTTATATTGAGTTATTGTGCAGTCAGTAAAGACTACGTGATTGCGGAAGCAATATTAGTTGTTTTTATTGGTTAAATAAATCACAGTTATTTCTTTTAGGCTTGTTTTAATTTTCTTTGGTTTATGAAAACTTACGATCATTTAAAGGCGGGGGTATTGGCTTAGTCAGATCTCTAAGAGAGAGAGAGAGAGAAAGCTTCCAAAGCGAATAGTTCCTGTAGGGCAAACCCTTTCCCCGTCCTCTGAATTATCGTCAGAAAGTTAGGGTTCCTTCTGAACTTAACCCCCTAGCCGTGTGTTATCTAGAGGCCAATTTAAATACAAATTGGGCCCCTCTAGATAACTCGTGGTTACCGCTAAGAGTGGACTTTTAGGGTCAGTCAAAAAGGCCTATAATCTCACTGACTGCAAAAATAAATATTATATCGGTGCACATTTATTTTACAGATTTCCTCAAGATGTTGAAGGGTAATATCAATAAAGTAAAGTATATAAGTCAAATACAGGCTGTTTTAAATTAGCTGTTACTTCGGGATATTTTTTGTATCTTTAATCTGAGGGAGGATAGGTTGCCCCACAGTACTTAGGGTATATCTTAATAATAGTATATTATGCAACGATCATGTATTAATAGCCATTACATAAGAGTTGCATACCCTATTTTTTCTACGATTAAGAACCAGTTCTTCAATCGAAAATAGATTAATTTAAAAAATTATAACGCTTTTAATCCCTCAAAACCGTAGATAATCTAATTTGTTGATTACTTGTTAAGACAACTAAACAATATTTTTTTTTTATTTGCCAAAAGTGTTTCGGATTTTTTCCGCTATAGCCTTTGGACTTTTTTTTTGGGGTGTTCTCTCACATATCAGTTTTATATTTGATATTCAGTTCTGTTTTTAAAATGGAGTAACGAGTATTTCAATTAGGTTGAGAGTTGTTTAAAGTAACACATTTTAAGAAAAGGATGATCCTTCCTTAGTTAGCTTCGTCTAAATGTTGACTATACATTTTATACCTTTAATTTCGAGTAGTGTACATGGAACATTATCATTGCTGGACATCTTTTTTCAAAATTAAAATACCTAGATATTTCAAAATCGAAGATCTAAACTGACACAAAACCTAAATCTTCCAGAAACTGTCAAAAAAATAAATCAATAGCTACCCAAAGTTTTTTTTTATTTTCCTGACCTTTTTTTCGGTGCGCCTATGGAATACAAGTAATAATAAAAGACGAGGTTATAGCTTGTCAACATCAACTACCAAGGAATTAAATGAGAAATATCCTTCTGGTTATTATTTCTTCTTGTGCTAGTGAGCTCTGGAATATGCAAGAATCAGAGGTGCATCCAGAGGATGGGGTTAGGGGAAATTTAGTTTAAGTCTAAGTAGGGGGGACAGTGGTAATATTTGAGAATTTATTTTTGATAATAATACATTTTAGTACCTACATAAAGTTAAAGTTAAAAAATTCTTAAAGTAATTACCACCAATAACCCCCCGTATATGCGCCCTTGGTAATAGCAAAATGACGTATAATTCTATTAAAAAAATACTAATTAGTTGTTATTGTCTGTTATGGCGAGTAAATGTTGAGATGCGTTTAATATCTTTAACTCCTGTTTTGAACTTCATCATTAACGTTATTTTTGTTCGTGAATTTACTGTAAAATTGACGATCTGTAGTGTTGGCATCATCTTTATCTATTAGTAGAAGTCTACTTTAAGTTCAGTTCTAGTCCACTTCTGCCGTGCAATGGTAAAAGCTAGTAAGTCAGTTATTTGATGGTATTTAATTTTTGCTGTAACTAGACTTACTATGTTTTTCTCTACACATAGCTATTTTCAGATTTGGATTATCTCTTTAAATAAGGATTCTACGAATTTATAGAACCTAGTAAGTCGCATGTTTCAATAAGTTTAACAAGTACAAAAAATAGCAAATCACTTTTGTACACTAGAATAGATAGTAAGTCAAACTTGCTGTCTTTTCATTTAGTGATTTTTTTGAGTTAAATTTATTAAATTTGAGAAACATATCATCTCCCTATTTACTATGTTTTCATAATTGATAAGAAGTCACTATTTAATTTAAAAACATAGCATGTCTAAAGTTACTATCTTTTTATTACAGTTCTTATTTTTAATATATGGATAATGGTAAAAAAACCTAGTATGTCATACTTACTATCTTTTCTTGCTTGTAATTTGTACAAATATATCTAACAAAGTCTATGAGTCAAACATATATGTCTGACTTGCTATGTTCTTCTCATTGGATGGTTCCCTAATAGTAAATATATTATTACGCCATTTTAGTTAAGTCAATAGTGTGTTCCAGTAGTACGCGTCGTAAATTTAGAATTTATTTGGTTTTCTTGTTGCTGTTAGAAGTATGAATTCAAGAGGAAGATTTTTAGTAAATTTAACCATACAACATAATATGTAAGTTTACTTTGATACTATTATTGATGTCTCTTAAGTATTAATTAGAACTTACCATTAACATAACCTCAACCTTATATTATTGTGGACGTAAAATGAAATATTATTTAAAAAAATCCCATTACTAGACGAATATAAATTAAGAGCTGAAATTCAGAAGAGCTTTTCATCCTTTTATTAGTAAGGCCTGGGTGTATGTCCATGGTTTTATTTTACTATATTTAAGATACAGAGAAGCAAATCCTTTAAAATTTTGCAAGACTCTTTTTGACTGAATGACCCGACCAATCACTCTAAACTAAAACTTTAAATTTGTCCTATTTTAAGCCTCGCTAGTTTTTTCGAGAATAAGGTACTACTTCCTCTTTGAATAACTCAGTAAATTATTGCACAATACTTTTTAGATTAACAACGAGTCCCACGTCATTGCCAAGCGAAAAAATATCTGATAATGAGGAAGAAAATTAATTCGAGGATTCGGACGCAGACCCAAATTATGAACCAGATGAATGAATTTAATACAAAACTAGGAAAGAAATATTAGACTTTTCTGAATCAGATGAAGATACTGCAAATTGTTCCAGAGCACCACCTGAAATTGAAAACGAACCTTTGGTTCATTGTTCATCTTCGGTTACAACTCAAAACATGGACAGTAATTTTGATACAACCAAGAAAATAATTGAGAGTGTTATAATCAGAGAAAACGAAGAATTAATGGAGGGCACCTAGAATTAAAAACGCAAGAAATTGTACTCTGAATATTAGACGAAATGATTTCAAATAGTGTTGATAAAAGTTTAAAAGCCAAGACTAGAAAGAGAACGCGTACTCAGATAGAAAAGAAGGAAAAATACTTAAGTAAATATAAGCTCATGGCTCCATGTTCTTGCAGACGAAAATGTGCGACAGTTATTGATAACGAATAAAGACAAATTATCAACAAATTATTTTGGAGCATATTTCCAAAATTGATGTCAAACAGCGAAAATGTAATGCATCCCATTTTAAAAGAAATGCTATCCTTAAATATTTACTTACTAATACAACTGGGAATAAGATACAAGTTTGTAAAACGATGTTCTTACGAACAATTGGACTGAAAACGGATGGAATAATTACGCAGCATATGCTAGCGAAACAAAAAAATAACGGGTTGCCAAAAGTTTTAGACGAACGTGGAAAGACTAACAAAAACAAAGAAAACAATCACTTCAATGATGATATTGCAGAACACATAGAATCATACAACCCTCAAGTATCTCATTACAATTTACAACATGCACCTCATCGAAGATACTTAACATGTGATCTGAGTATAAGGGTAATGTGGAAAAACTTTTGTCTGAATCCTGAAAAAAAAGTATCTTATATAGAAAAAATATTTGCTTCTAAAAATATAAGTTTCGCCCAGCCATCACAAGACGAATGTTCGCAATGCTCTTTATTTAAACTACATAAAATTGAGCACGCTACAGCTGATGGATTATCAACGGATAATTTCAAAAAATGCTCATCATTTCTAAAACATAAGGAAACGTATACACAGGCCCGCGAGGCCTACAAGAAAGACAAAGCTTCCAATAGTGGCCATAATCACATAGTCTATGCGGTGGACATGCAAAAAGTGATTTTAATTCCCAAAATGCCTTTGAAGAATATATTTTTTGAGAGTCGACTCGTAGTTTTCAACGAAACATTTGCATGTATGGGCAAAAATAAAATTTATGCGTTTTATGGGATGAATCAATAAGGGGAAGACTCGCAAGAGATGTAACGTCAACTAATTGCTATGTTATAAAAAATGCCCCCAGCTCAATTTCCACTTTCACATTTTGGACAGACAATTGTAGTGCTCAGAATAAGAATTGGGTACTATTTACTACAATGGCAATAATTGTTAATGCGGACTGGGGTCCTAATGATATAACCTTTAAATATTTAGAAGTGGGTCACACATATAACAGTTGTGATTCGGTCCACGGAAATATTGGTCATGCCTGGAAGAAAACAGAATATGTTTGCGATATGAATGATTTGGCACAATTACTTGAAACATGCAGCAGTCAAAACAAAATAATAAAAATGGAACTGAAAGACTTTTATGATTTTACTGATGGTTGTCGGAAAAGAAATAAAAATAATCCGCTGCCTTTGATGGATGAAATGAAAGTGGTCCAATTCCAAAAAGGAAGTAAGGTGCTTTTTTATAAAAGTAAAACGCAACCCTAACGATACGATGCAAACATGTAAGAAAATGGACAATAGGATGAACACGTGCTAATGCCAAATTGCTAAATTATCTATAAATGCGTTGTGTCTCTGACTTCCGAATAATAAGTATCACATCTCAACATGTGCCAGTCATATATCTACCGTATCAGTGCAGATGTTGCATTTTAAAATAGGTTTCAGCTGGCAACACCGTGCAGTGAATTAGTACTAGCTAATCTTTTATGAAGTACATAGGTTTTTGATTCGAATTGTTTAACGCTTTGAATCGAATCATTTTATAACATTGAATCAAGTACGCAATAGTCGGTTTTAAGAGATAATCATACTTATAATAAACGTAAGAGCTTTCTTGGATTAATTCACAATTCTATACTTGAACGAAATAATTTATTCTAAGTGTAAAGCTTTTCTTGAATGTGGATGATAATTTTTTTCTGTGCAGATTGCTGAATTCACCAATGAAATGATGTGTTACTTGACCATACTTAACATTAAAAAAAAAGCTGCTGCTGGGTTCCAGAGGGATAGATTTCTGCGTATAAATAATTTTATATGACAATTCGTCCCTAGCCAATAAAAGGTGGCGTGTTTGTTGTTTTTCTTAAATTTGCGTAATTTTAAAAGTAGCACTACAATAAACGAATTTGATACTTATTTACATATCCACCTATATAGTTTTAAATAATAACAAATAATTAAATACATGTTGACATATTTTTGAAATCTGAAAAATATAATTCTATTTTTGCAGCAGACGCCACGATAATGTATTTTTTTGTATTCTTTCTGCAATTCACGATTTTTACGCGTATGTATCAGATCTTTCTTGGTCTTGATCAACTGCAAGGAGAGCAGTATTATTAGCAAATAGCTTAATCTGTTTAACAGCAATTTTTAAATAATTTTGATACAATTGATAAGATATAAATAAGCCTATGCGTCGTTTGGTGAATTTAAGATCTTCAACTAGGTACTTCTTTCAGTGTAACAAGGCTGTGTTGAGATATACATTGCTTTATTTTATATAGTTTACTTATTTTTATATCATTATGTACTTTAAAATAATTATTCTCACATTTGACGAATAAAGATTTTGTTAAAGTCATATTAAAGTTTAATTTTCTTTGGATATTTCTACATATCTGGCTAAAATACTTTCTTTAGGCTGTTGGTATAGTTTTCGCCTTCTTCATAAAGTTGTTAATTTTTAAATTGATATTCATACTTATCTTGTTCAATATTCCAAAGCTTCTCCAGTCAGTAGTTTTGTTGATAGAAGTATGTCATGTATCAATTATCATAATCCAACTTGATCTACCTCATGTATTTGCTTTTTCTTTCAACGTTTCCAATGCATTTATATATTTGTCCCACATAATTTAAATACTATACGGTGCAAGAAAGAAGTCCGACACGCCCAATATAGGGCGCGGCCATTTTGATGCCTTTACCACAGTTTATAGCTAAAGAATCAGTTCGCTCACTCTGCGTCGGCACTTTTGATCTCAGTGTTCCAGTTTATACACTGCGCAACTCGGATAATACAATATATGACAACCGCCTATAATAAAACAGCAGTCTTTTGCGCATCCTGAATTTGTATTTCTGGAGTGGATGTTATTTTGGAACTTTCAACTGCTCCGAGTGAGCTAACTGATTCTTTAGCAATAAACTGTGACTCCAAAAATAATATTTACTGACACTGTTAGCAGCAAGCATAATATCAGGTACGTTTTAATCATCCGCTTCTGCTTACGGAATTGTCGGTTTAGTCGTTTTAGGGTGAGATTACAGAACGTCTGCAACTTTGTAGATCTGCAAATATGGCGGCAACTTTGAAAATCTGCAAATATAACTGACTTACACATGCAAGTATCAAGTTTTCGTATTCCAAATTTGGGTTTAGTGTTGTTGGGGGTTAATAAACCTGTCAGATTAAAAACAAGAAAACTGACAATTCCGAAGCAGAAGCGGATGATTAAAAACGCACCTATTAAAAATATTGCGCCAAGATGTAGGCAACACGTAATAAGGCATCAAAAGGGCGGAGTTTTCTATATCCTTTTAAAAGGCTATCAGAAAGCTGCGCAGAGCGACCATTCTCCGTATAGTAAGAGAAAATCAAAGTAAGTGATTTGTCAAGTGTTTTGGGCATCAAAAATAAAAAAAAACAATATGAACCGGTCTAGGGTATTTTAATTTAGTAGAGAGGGTTGTTTAGGTATTTGTTTTACAGTTAATAACAAACTTGTAAATATTAAATGTTAAACAGTAAGTGCACGAGGAAACCATATGAATCATTAAGGTTTTCTGTTTTTTGAAAATACTAAATGGAAGAAATATATAAAAAAGTTTCAAACGAAACAATTCTTAATGAACTAACAGTAATATTTTGAAATGACGCTGCTAATCATCATATCTGTCGTTACCAACGACACCAATGAAATAACTACTATACTACTTATATTGATCCATTAAAAGCACAAATGTAATCGTGACATATCCAATTATACCATTATCCCTCGACATAACCCCGTTAATCATTCCATCAATTACAAGCATGCACACATAACATTTAATTGTGAAAAACTTCATTAATCAATCAAAATTCATTATTCCGCTGTTTTTAGCATAACACTGAGAACTGTTTGTCGGAAAACTCATTTCATGTTGAGAAAGGTTTCAGCATCTAATTTATTACCTGTTTCGCTTTAAAGTCAGATAGCTAATTCTGAACTTATTAACTAATTACTTAGACAAATATCTAAAGAAATTTAATTTGCTAAGAAAAGTCTTAAGCATGGTTCCGGTTGTTAATTTGAAAGATTCAACGAGACAAGGTTATAATTAATTACGTATAGTGGGATCTCACCCCTTTTACTATAATTTCTCTATACTTTGTATATTCTGCATTTGTAATAACATTAAATTTACAACTCAGTTTTCTGTTTAACGAGAAAAGATTAGTGTGAGTAATAGAATTTAAAATATGAAAGTTCTGCTTTCAGCGATGGATACGTGTTGTGATAAAATAAGAAAAGTAATGCATGTTTGATCATTGCCACACTTTTAATTGGATGGCGTTAACGAACAAGGATCCAAGCGCTAGTTTGAAAATGTTCTGTTTATTTAATTTAAAAACGTATGTGTACTGCGATAAATACCAATCGCCTTATTTTAACATACTCACCGCCATGTGGCAATCAAAAGTCCATCTTCTAAGACAGTTTATCACAAATTTCAGTTTTTAAAGAAAGATTCACGCGTTACAGGTGAATTGTGGTTCGTTCGCATTTTGTTAAATATTTTTTTGTTAATTTAGGTACAGTATCGTTGAAAATGTTATCAGGAAGACAAAAGATACTTAACCTAGTGACATTACAATCTGCAATAGAGGTAAGTTTGATGTAAAAAGTAAATTACGGTATCCTAACCTAAAATTTCATTACTGTGGTTCCTTAATAAAAAAAAAAATATTTTGACATACATGGCTTTTGGTTCCATTAAAATGTATTTGGTTCTTTTTTTAAAAAATAAATATGAAGTATTACGACATAATATTACTGAATTTTTTTATTTATTCTTGTAGGAGGGCCTTATAACTTCTTGTCAAGATCAACTTGAAGTGCCTTTCAAAAATGATAGAGATGCTGAACATAATCATATTACGACTTAAAGTGAAAAAACGTAAGTTTAAATTTACTGAGGCCTTTCATATAGGGTCTCAGTATTGCATTCGTACAGACGAAAAAAATTGTCCGAAAATGCAAAAAAAATAATTTTCGTCTGTGCGTATGTATACAGGCACGATAACTTTAGAACGAAAGTTCTGATTAACTTGCGGTCTTGATTTTCCTAAATAATTGCTTCTAACTTAGAACCCTATTGATTTTCAGAATTTTCGGTTGATCCTAACTAGTTTATTATCAATTTTCTTAAAAGCCGCCCATGCATTTCTTATGTGACTTATTTTACGCATTCCAATCAATCCTAACGTCTAACACTCCCAAAATTCCATGCATTGCAAACATTCCAATATTAGGCACTCCAACGACCAGTCATTTTAAAGGCTATTTTTAATCGAAATAGTAGTCGCCAATCCTGCCAATTTATGAAAAAAATATAAGCAGTTTCTTAAAAAATTTTTCTTTTTCGCAACCCCGTAGAATAATTAAACGGCCATTTTATTTTGCAAAAATCAGAATAAAGTAAATATTGCGAAGAATTTTTTTTACAAAACTTATATTTTAGGCTTTAGGAAGGAGAGTATTTTTTAAATATACCACCGAGAACCCAATAAATTAACGTTTCTTTTTTTGGTTTGGTACCACTTCGGCCGTTCCCATATCGGCCGTTAAATAAAAAAGTTGCATTTCGGCCGGTCGCCCTTTTTGGCATATTTAAATTAAGATTAGAGTTACATTTCGGCCGGTCAACCTTTTGAGATATTTAGATTAAGATTACTTAAATAATATCGGCCGTTTGTTTATATATTGTAAACTTGTTAATTTTTTTAAA